TCTGTCTGTAAAGTCCTTCAGTATGGCTCTCTTCATTTGGGCGATGGGGGAGGAGTCCTCATCGCACTGTGCCATGCTTTGCTCTATCATGTGCTTGAGGGGCACAATGAGAGAGACTGTAGGTCGAGACTCATCGCACAGCACGGTGGTTGCTTTTTTCAGCGGTGAGAGAAGCCGAACCATGTCCTCGGCGTCCGTGATGTCAGCTGGTTCCAGAGTGTCTATCTCGCGTGCGTTGCGCCTGACTTCATCACGGACGCCGAGGACATGGTTCGGCTTCTCTCACCGCTGAAAAAAGCANCCAGTTTGTACACAACGATGGAGAAACTTAACAAGCAGCAGTGGTCCACTGAAGAGACCAGCTACCTACTGGGAATCTGGTCTTCCGAAGAGGTACAGCGGAAGCTGGAGCACAATCGGCCATTGTTGTTGTTGTTGTTGTCGGTGTCAGCTGTGAGGGGTTTCCGCGCGGTTTGGCTTTATGAAGCTCATTACGGTTACGTAATGACGCAAACGATGACGCAATGACGCAGCACCAGTCGGACTCTGGGCAGTGTGAAAAGAGCCGAAGCTAAACCGAAGAACCGGTTCTGAACCTGAAAAGCTCTAGCACGGAGCTTGAACCGGAGTTGCGTTGGTGTGAATGAGGTATGAGTGTATTTTTCTGAAAGGTAATACAACATGGCTGCTGTATACGCTGGTTTTCAATATAAACCCAGCCAAGACGGACTCTTTTATTTAACTTCACCCAGTCTCTTTGTGAGCAGGACTTTATTCCCACTGTGATATGGAATGTAGGGGAGGAGGAGGCATGAATGCATTTCCCTGCATTAACTAGACTGAAGCATTGTGCATGTTTACACCATTGCCTTGGAAGGGGATTATTCATGGCTTACTGCAGTGTGTGGTTGCTGGGGTGATAGACATGGTACAAAGTAGTGTGGTAGGCATTGATGGTGTTCAATTGGAGACAAATGTAGACTGTATTTAAAAAAACTTCTGCTGAACTTCAAACAAAGCACAATTATTTTCATTTTGCTTTATTTATTAGTTGTTTGGACTGTGAATGTCATAACATAATGACAAATGACGATCACGTTTTCTCAAAGCCTAATACAACATTTAAGAATCTGCAATCAGAGGATTTCTAGTCCATTAGTAGATTGGCAGAAAATAAACACTTTTTTTGACAATCAATGAATTGTAAGTCACTTTTCCTTCAAAAATGCCACAAAAAAGAATAATTTTAGCCTCTCAAATATAAAGATTTTTCTTCTTTTTTGGGGCCTTTTTCACTATTTTTGGGGGATTCTCAGGCCCTGTTTACATGGATACGGTTCGGGTTGTATCTGCTACTTTTCTCTTTTATATAGCCCGTTCCTTCACACGAGGCCGTAACGGAACCGCGGAAACGGACCCCTCAAACGATAACGGGTCCCAAGGTGGATAGATCTGCGGACGGAACACTCTGGGGGGAGCATGGTCAGTAGCTACTGCTACTGACCATGCTCCAGATGTTACTGCAAAATCTACAGCTCCTCTACCACAACCATCAGCAACAAGCGGACATGGAGAACTACATGAACTACATGTTGCTAAATCCACCGCGGAGAATAAACAGAAGGGCAACCAGGCAACCATGGCAACCATGCTCGGGAGTCTTCTTTGCTGCTTTTGGTGTATTTTGAGGCGGGAGTACAGCGCCACTTACAGGCCCGGCATATGTACTACAGCGTCTCCAGCGGCTCGAGAGGTCTCGTGTGAACGGACACGTTTATTGAGCCGTATCCGTGTGAGTGAACGGACACGTTTATTGAGCCGATTGCGTGTGAACTGAATTACTTTTTTGATATCGAATTTGGTTCATTTTCGTTTGCGTTCCCGTGTAAATGGGGCCTCAAGCGCATGCTAAGGGTAGCGCAGAAGGAAATAAATCCCCCCCAACAACAGCGCCTAGACAAAAGAAGAGCAGATCAAGCAGCTATTTCCATTACTGCATTAAATCTAACAGCCTTGCGTTTCTGTTTGTTTGAGCGCCCTTTAGATTAAGCCTAATTTCATTAAGAGGGATAATTAGTCCTGAGGTGAGGCCAAGTGGCTCCACAACAAAGAGGCTCAGTGTGTTGAAAACACAGGAAACCCTATGACTCAAGCTCTCCTGTCAGTACATCCTAATTTCCTCATTTTAGCCTTTTACTGACAAGTGTGCAAATGTGCACGTGCGTGTTTGTGTGTGTGCTTGATAACAGACCCAGCTTGACAGCAGGTCGTCTGTGTAAGCACAGCGACTGAAAACATCCGCACCATCTGTGGAGCCTGAAGTTTAATAACAGCCGACCTGCCAAGGAGAGGAGTCCAGCCCCCGACCCTTTGTCCAACACACTGTACACAGATGCTGACTAATTGAATTATGGGATATCTGTTTGAGTTCAAATGCAAGGACAAATCTGTCTGTGCGTATGTTTGGGGGGTTACATCACAGTGCTCTAAACTGATTTACTTTGGACACTTTCCAGAAGTTGTACACACTAACAGAAGGTAATTCAACTGCCACTGTAAACAAGATATGAATGCACCTGAATAGTTTCTGTTAGAGCAGCAAGGATTTGATTTTGAATCAATCATTCATTTGATTTGATTAGTAATTTCACTAATCGTTCCATCTAGTTATTCATATACTGTATGTACATTTGCTTTGTACAATTTGTACATTTAATTTAACCTAACTAGTGCCTTCTATTTGCTGTTACTACTGCTTTTATCACTGTTATTCATTATTCCTATGTCTTTTACTACATTAAGAGAAACCTACAACATTGTGTTTTACCCGAGTATGATGACAATAAAGATATCATGATTCTGATTATTAAGTCAACGGGACAAAGAAATCCAACTACCCTATCTAATCAAATATTGTTTAGCCTCTCAGATATTGAGACATTTGATAATGATACTTTCTTTGAATAATCAGTTGCTTTGTATACTTTTGACAGTGTTTCTTGTAATTCAGTAAATGCATAGAAAGAAAAGAATGAAACAGAAGTACGAGAGATAACCAAACAGTAAAAAATTTTAAAAAAAACACCAATTCTGTTAACATATATATTCAGTTTGATCTTTCTTCAAGTGTTAACAGTTAATGGGTGTAGGGCTCTGCTTTACTGCATGCATGTAAACACAGACAGCAAGTCCTATTATCTCAAGCAGACTTATGTTGAGCAGTAAACTGTGGAGGATCTGTTACACAGGGTTACTATCTGAATGCTGGATTGGTATTGGCTTGTCAATCTGAAGCGAGGGGGTTTGGGGTTGATACTTGGAGCATTAGCCATATTGCCAGGCCTCTTTAAAGATGAGGATTGTGGATTTGTGGGGCTATCTCCCACTGTGTTGGGATACATGAGGACTTAAGAGGGGGGGCTGCTCATGCTACCATCCCTACCTCTGAGGATCAGTGACTGCACTGTGAGGGGGCGGGACCAATACGCGTGGTTGGAGAACAGAAAAAAAAAGAATCTGGGTCAGACCTGGGCTGGATAATGCTGATACCTAGCAGTCTCTATGGAAACACAAGCTCCGCCCAATCCCCCCGCAACCTGACTTCCTCTCGCCCGAAGCAGAGGCAACAACAGACAGCGTGGTGCACGAGAGAGCGGGGCAGACAGAGACACAGAAAAAGAGAGGAAGATGGAGGGAGCAGACATCCTCTGCACAACAGTTTACTTTGATCTACAGTTGTGGAAATAAATGATACTTAATATATCAGCGATAATGTACTGCTTCCCATAAGGGAATTCACGTTTCAGTTTCCCCCCCCCAGAGGGAGGTCAGAGATCACGGTCAGCTACAAAATGAGCTGGGGAAGATTCAGTCTCCTGTTTCAAGGACACTTCAGTAGGTCAAATCCTGCTTTAAAGGAGAGGGGGGGGGTCTCTATCAAAGCCACCTGGATGGAGAACATTCAACCATGAATGTAGTTCAAAAGTCAGCTCACCTAATTTGTTTTGCATAGCTGGTTTCAATCTCCGACCTCTCCTTGACGAATTTGGTGTACTTCTCCACAAATTCGATCCCCCACTGCGTATGCTTCTCCAAGTTGTCAAACTGATCCTGCAGAAAAGAAGAAGACGTGATGATTAAATCACTGAAATACAAGAGACGTCAATCTATCATCACAAGCAGACAGAAAACGAAAGAAGAATAGAGCATAATGAAAGATTAAATCAACCTGATGACGACTTTCTATTGTATATACAGTACCTTGGAAAACTAAAGCTGAAGTCAAGTACCACACCGCTCTGAATCAAGTTCCAATATCCCAGAGTATTAGCATTATCATTTCTGAAATAGCCTTTACACATAGGGCTTGGCCGTATGGAGTATAATGATCAGTAATTAAAATACAATGTATAATTGGGTTAAACGCAATAATAAATAATAGAAAATGACATCACTTTGCCGTATCTCAGTCTATAACACCAAGTAAAGACAACAATTATGCCATCTAACGATATTCTAATCTAAGACTGTGTCAAGTGTCATACTGTATAACAATTAGGGATGTAACGATATACCGAATACCGCGGATCGTGGTAATGAAATGGCTCAATACCGTCGTGAGACTGAAAAAATCTACCGCGATATAACCGTTCATTCATTTATATCTCGCCCTGTAAATAAAAACTTTAATGTTTTTGTTTGAACAGCAGAGGACGCCATAGTACTAGTCAAGAATACTCCCATCATCCTTTGCGTGCAAGCCCGCCCTCACACTCAGACCCAACGAGAAAATGGCGAACGGAGTAGACGAACGTGCTGACCAACTAAATAAAAATTATGAAATTGAGGATGCTCCATCGACTTTTAAAGCTGTTGTGTGGCAGCATTTTGGTTTTCCCGTTTCAAGAAGTGACAAAGGTGAAAAGCAAACTGACAAACGCCAAACTATTTGCAAATCCTGCCGGGCGACGGTCGCCTACAATTCAGGAAACACATCGAACATGAGAAGTCATTTGTCACATCACCACCCAGAAAAGCTCCGAACACAACAACCTACTGTGAGGAAAAAGCCTAAGCCAGGCCAACTGACTCTGACAGAAGTATTTGGAGCGCCACTTCCCCCTAACAGTCCAAGAGCTCAGGAAATAACAAGGTGCATCGGCGAGTACATGGCCAAAGACTTAAGGCCGTTTTCTGTGGTGGACAACAGTGGATTTCGGAGGTTAGTAAACACGCTGGAGCCCAAGTATGCCATTCCATCACGGCCATACTTTAGTCGAACAGTGCTACCCGCTCTGTACCAAGAGACAAAAGCTAAAGTGACACAGAGCCTCAAAGAAGCAGAGTGCATCTCAATAACAACAGATGGGTGGACTTCACGAGCTACGCAGAGCTATATTACAGTCACGGCTCATGTTATGACCAGCGAATGGGAAATTAAAAGTTTTGTTTTGCAGACGCGGCCTCTTTTCACATCACACACTGGACTAAACATTGCTGAGGTGTTAAAATCTGCTGTTTTGGAGTGGGGACTCGACAATAATCAAGGCATTGCTGTCGTAACAGACAACGCAAGGAATATGGATGTAGCGGTGAGAGAGGCCGGTCTTTCCCCACACATAAAGTGTTTTGC